AATTCATAACGAACATTTTCAATTTCTGTGCAGTACATTTATTCACTACGAAATATTCATTATATCACGTAATTTCTGTGAGTGTATCATATTGTGGATGAATTATATCTTATATTAAATAAATTTTTTATTAAATTAAATCAAGTTGTGAATTTCATGATAAATGTTGCTATGGAACCATTTAATTTTCATTTTACAATAAATATTTTGATGAGATATAATATTTTAATAGTATTATTAACACTAGATTGAAAATTACATCATACTTTTAAGAAATTCTCGCAGAAAGAAATCTAGAGTATTCAAATCAATTGTTTCAACAAAAAATTGTTTATAACTTTGAAAACAATTTTTCATGTGTATTAAAATTTCTTTTTTCATCGCCTATTCTAATCAACTTTTTTTTACCATTCTGTATATCTAATATGACAGTTTATGCTGTGTATTATTACTTAATATAAATTTGTAGTAAGTATATTCTATATTTATATATTTTTAAATTGATTTTAAATTTTGTCAGTATAATCATGACAACTGAATCTCATTATAATGTTAATAAAATTTCAAAATTTCACCCAAGACACGTAAAACACACAAAAAATTTCTACGATAAGCGTTCCATGAGTTACTGTACAATAATTTCATAAATTGCTGCAGATCACTTTTTGTAATGCCCTATCATGTTGTAAATTATTTATAATTATTTTATTGCATTATTACCTGAAAGATTGAAAAATTTGATAACAATCGTGTTTGTTATCAACTCTTTTACATGACGCTCCAAATCAAATTCTCAATCAAACGTGATGTATCAGAGACTCAAATTACTTTTCCAAGATTTATGTCATATATTTCCTTCTAAATCTTCTAATTTCTCACGAAAAATAAAATGACGCTCTATCATGCCAAAAAATGAATTTTTATACGTTAACAGGTAAAGGTGTGTTCTCTAATAGCTATCGTATATCTTCGGGTAAAAACTGTAAATATGATATTCCAGAAAAATTTTATGGCGGAAATACGGATCTATGATACGTGTTCCAATTACATACACCAGAGATCATGCGTTAATACTCCATCTGTCTTGAAATCCACTGTGGTGATTACTCCATGAATTTACAGTTAACCATCAGTTATTTGTCATCTGTGTTGGAAACACTTCCTGGATTTAAATTTATCGATACATAAAATGTATGTTATAAAATTGCTCAATATTATGTTAGAACAATTACAACTCATGCATATTAATACGATTCTCTATTACAGTAGAGCTATATACAGCAGAGTATATTCTTTTCTTATCTTCATTTTTCATATATTTTAATATTCGAATGTATTATATTATATTGTCAGAGTAGAATGTCTACTAATAACTGGAATCATCTGTTGCAACAGGCGTTATATTAAATAAATAATATATGTAATATTAATAATAATATTAATATATTATAATAATATAATAATAATAATAATATTAATATTATATTATAATAATACAATAATATAATAATAATGCAATAATATAATAATAATAATAATATTAATATTATATTATAATAATAAAATAATATTATAATAATAATAATAATAATATTATAAGAACCATTATATTAGTAACAGAGATATTTTGGTGGTGTAAAGTTAAATCGTTCCCAAATATTTTATTATATTATTATGTTTATTCTTTATTATTTAATACTATATAGTATTAAATAGTTATTTAATACTTTAGTAATATTAAATTTTAATAATATTTAATATTATTAAATAATAATAACAATATTATTAATACTTAATATTTAATAACATTTAATACTTTAATAATAATATTATTGATGCTTAATATTTAATAACATTTAATACTTTAATAATAAAACATTATTAATGCTTAATATTTAATAACATTTAGTACTTTAATAATAATATTATTAATGCTTAATATTTAATAATATTTAATACTTTAATAATAAAACATTATTAATGCTTAATATTTAATAACATTTAATACTTTAATAATAATATTATTAATGCTTAATATTTAATAACATTTAGTACTTTAATAATAATATTATTAATGCTTAATATTTAATAACATTTAGTACTTTAATAATAATATTATTAATGCTTAATATTTAATAACATTTAGTACTTTAATAATAATATTATTAATGCTTAATATTTAATAACATTTAGTACTTTAATAATAATATTATTAATACTTAATATTTAATAACATTTAGTATTTTAATAATAATATTATTAATGCTTGATATTTAACAATATCTAATACTTTAATACTATAGTATTAAATAGTTAATTATTGTTATTTTACACTGTATAGTATTACTGAAAAAAAAAAAATGTACTAACAAATTTTGTCTTTTGCACACTAAAGAAAAACACCGTGAACGCGTTGCAGAAATTCCATTGCCGATAAACGGCGCGTAAGAATCACTCATTTCTCACGGAACTTTTGATAGTTATCGTAAGGCATACTTTTCACATCCGACCGATAGCTCCCATCTGTGTGATTACCTTCTGATTACATCAAACTACGGCTCTTCCGTATTCCTCTGGAGCCGAGAAATCGATACAAAGCGGTCGAAGCAGTTAGTTTTAATAAGATGAAAAAGTTCCCCATCTGCAACACTGGATGGACACGTTTTTGCAGTTTTATTTTAAACAACGTACGGATGGGAGTGCTCCCCTGTATAAGGTGGTCTATCGGGATACTAGCTTCCGGTCGACTCAAGGTTTTTCTCATATCCTTCGAATAGCCTCTCGCGATACTCACGGCCAGTGGCAGGTACCTATATTTGAGACCTCCGTGTGCGCTCGAGCATGTAATGACCACCGTCTCATCCCAAGACAGGAAGAGGAACAGGTTTTTCATTTTTCACTGGCTTATCGTCCCACCTTAACCTCGAGCTCGTCGATTCTCCGGATGTCAGGAGTCGGATGAAAAAAA